TGCTCTTATAAGCCACTGTGTTTAGGGTGATCTGTTCAGCAGGGATTATCTCGGCTTATCTCGAATGTGGACAGAGCCAGGGCCAGAAGCAGCCAGGGGCTGAAAAGCATGTGAGCTGTGGACTGGCCCGAAACTGGGGAGGCAAGGGTGAGGTCACAGCTGTACCAGCAGGGTCAGGATGAAACTTCTGGTGCATCGGGGGCAAGAAGACTAAGAGGAGGTCAGAAGGAAGGAGCCGAGTCACACTTACCCCCGTGGCCTGGATCCTGCCGCCCTCATCCCTTCTTCCTTCATCTCCACTCTACCTGTGGATGAAGGGTGGGTGACAGGACTGGCTCCCCAGTCCAGCGAGGACCACAGCACCCAGGCCTACTACTCACAGATTAGGGAAGCAGGATCAAAGACGAACCCAAAGTCCAGTTTGGCCTACTGCCACCAACACGAGAACTCAGAAACATACATTCTGTCATTTCTTTCTCTCTTTTCTCCTCTCTCCATTTCATCAGTGTCCATACTCTTGACTCTATTATTTTTTCATCTAATGCATGAAACAAAATACAGTTGCTACTCTCTTTGTTCGCGGTAGTTCTGTTCTACAGAGTTACCAGGAACTGTGAATTTGCAAATTCTGCACCACTGCTCCCAGGAAAAACATGAGACTCAGTTCTTAGGATCCACTGGTTATGTTTTCATCAACCAGTCAACAAATAACCTTGTTTTATATGTGTTTCTATTTAAAGAACCTTATTTCACATATATTTTGTTGCTCTTAGGAGCACAATAACTCAGGCCTGTAGGAAGTGTATCTAACATACACAATCACTGTGCAAGGCACTTCACGGTCTTCCTATACTTGGAGGTACAAGGCGACACTTTAGCACTATGCTTAGGACCATTTTAAATTGTGAAGCCACCAACAGAAAGCACAAAAATGCTCAAATGAAAGTGGCACTAAGTAGAACAAGGAAATGCCACCTGTTTATACCATGAGAGCTGAAACATAAAGGCAGTGTTGCTCTAGCCAACCTCAGTGCATGTTTCAGCCAACTCAAAATGTTCACCATTTTATACATATCCAAAGTGACAGCGAAAGCTCTGTTCGGATTCATTTTACGGCTGCACATACATTTTAGTGAATAGGTAGATTTGTAAATAGGGGATCCATGAACAATGAACACTGACTATAAATAATTTTCCTCTTCTGTCCCCTACCTTCCCTGCAGAGATCCAACCTCATTTACAAAGATACATAATTTTGCTTTGGATGTTTTGGGGAAACCACCAATTTATATATAAGACCATACTTCTAAATAAATTACTCCCAAAATCTACATTAAATTCAATGTTTCTAGTTGGGTGCGGAACCAGAAGAGGCAGTGTGGGTCTCTGTACCCTTTTCTTAATTTCCCTACCCATCCTTGTTATCAAAGGGCTCTGATCTGTGATTCAGGCTTCTGCTTTTTTGGCTGTCACTGAAGCATGGCTCCTGCAGGTGCTGCTCTCCACGCACCCCAGCCCCTCCAACTTCCTGCAGTGAACATACCCAACAGCACTTAGCAACTTAAGGTGGCCCATTTTTCCACAAACAGGCCTTGAGAGCTACCCATGTAGCAGAGACCAAGGCAGAAGTACATGGCTCTATGGGGAAACAATACTGGAGGGTAATTTCTGCCAAATTCATGCCGTTTGAGGAACAGGATTGAGAAGATGCAAATGTAGGTTTATCACACTCAAAACCACACAGCACCCCAATGCAAAGCAACCCCATTCAAATGTGCTCGGAATTGCCTTTGCAGCCTTAAACTGAAAAACTTAAGTGTCAGGACTTGGGTAAAAGGGAAAATTTCCTTGTGGGTTCGATTAATTTTCCTAAGAAAGAGGAATGAATCCAACCAAGAGGGAGAATCAGTCTTGCTGGGCTGGTTAATTGCAGAGAAATGAGCAAGCAAAGGGACACTCCACGGGACCACGCCACATAGCACGTGGCTCTCCAGACAGCCACACACAATGAGTCTGCACAATGAGGGGAATTTCGCCTCCTCTGCCAGGGTCTCATCATACAGGAAAAAACACAAAACACGGACACAACATGGGGCCTCGGCATGGAGGGATGAACCCAGAGTTCAGGAGCCCAAATCAGCCTGTGTGTGCCCCTGGTTTCGTGAACATAGATGAGCTTGTGCTCGGGGAGAGCACCCTGAGGGCCTGTCCCCAGAACACTGGGCGGCCTGCCCCATGCTGTGCTGCACAGACAGTGGTTCCCTGAGCGGGAGCCTTTTCTTCACTCACTCCGTGGACCCTTCCTGGTCCTGTCTCTGCAGGCAAGCCCAGGGCAATTCTTAGAATACAGGGACCCACACTGCTGAAACGAAAAGTAAAACCAAGGCTGCCAAGCATGATTTTTATTGTCATTTAGAAATAGAAGAGTTGCGGCAATGCAAGAAAACAATACCCAAACCTTCAGAACTGAGTTCTTTTGTTGCACTTCCAGAACTTGAAAGACCTGAAAATGCATAAAGGAAAGGCTGACCTAGCCCAGTCAACTTTGACCTATCTCAGCCAGCCTGTGGGCTGTCTCAGGCTCTGCAAGCAATGCTCCCAAGTCCTCTTTTACACCCGCCTAGATGTAATTCACATACATGAAAATATTCCTTGATGTCCATCGGAATGTTATCTCTGGATATTCCGGCCTACAAATAAGCCACCAGCCTATCTAAGAGGACTTAACTTTAAAATCTGAAGTGTTGGTTCAGTCAATAGCACAGCTGAGTGGCTACCACGTGCTAGTTGTAATTTTAGGCGCCATGCAGGATTGAAAAGGAGCCTCCCTGACAACATGTTGAAAAGAGCAGCTCCTGGGAGGAAGAGCAGGGATCCAACTATGAACCCTACTGCCATCCTAAGACTGTGTGTCTCTCAGGTTCTCCGCCAGCTACGCTTCTGTCTGCATCTTGCTGTGACAACTCAAACCACATGCAGACTGAGCTTCTTGGAGTAAGCTCCAGCTCTCCATGCCCTCTGGTCTGAAGCCCCCTTGGCCTCAGGGCACCTGTCCCAGACACACTCTGGAAACATGATCCCGAGGTCTTCACAGTCTAGCAAAGAAGCCAGAGACAGAAAACCTAAACTCTAAACAGCTTCATGGTGATTTGTAAGCAGTCCAATGTATGAAAACCTCTGCTACGACCCAGCATTTCACTCCCTGAGTGATATTTATGGCTACAGAATAATTGAGTTAACCCTGTGCACCTCCGAGATGGGGAAAAAGGCAGCCAGGAGGTGAGTTGAGGGTGGACTGTTGCTGGCCATCAGCAGAATATCAAAACAGGAAGGACAAGAAAGTCACTGTGTCAGGTGGGATGCCCAGCCCAGCTCCACCCCAGCAACCCCCTTTGCAGCCCCTCCTGGCACAGCACAGGTCACATAGGTGGGATCAGAGGAGGGGGACACGGTTATTAAGGACAGCACCAGCTGGCTGGGGATGTAGCTCAGTGGCAGAGCACTTGCCTAGCAGGAGCATGGCTCCGGGTTCAGTAGCAGCAGTGTGGGAACACGGGAGCCAGGCTTTGTGAAAACATGACTAAAAACTGGGTCAAGGCCAGGATCATGCCTAAAGGACAGGGTAGGGCTGTAGCCAGTGAGCCTGAAAATGTCCAGTGAAACATTGCCGGTGAACTGTGTCCCACTCACCACTCACCACTCACTCCCTTCTGGGAAAAACACCAACAACTGCCAAAACTACCAGACAAAAAGCATCTACCTTGAAAATACCCGCCACAGTGGATCTCCCTGATCTTGTCTTTGCCTGAGAAAACTACAGGGGTGGATGGACAGGGCAGTGAAGGCTCAAAGCTCTCCTTGACTCTGCTCTAAGCCCAAAAAAGCAAAGCAGTGGGGAGGCCTGGCTGAGGCTGCAGTGGTCAGCTGGCCATGAGCTCAGTCAGCAGACAGGACTTCCGTGAGACCCGATAGTGCCTGGCTGGAGCTTCCAGCCTCTGAGCACTATTTGAGCATTTCTGTCACTCTACCTCTTTAGCAGAACCTGTACAGGGACCCTGCAGCTGCCAGAAAAACCAATCCACTGAATTTAAATAAAGACACACTGAAACTGCACTAAGAAGCCACCTGAGTTCTGCTGAAGGCATACAAAAACTCATTATCATCTCTTCCCGGCCAATTAAGAAATAAGTGTGGGAAACTCATGACTGTAAAATATCCCAGAAACTTAGGATGGATCTGACACATAACCGTATACCCATGCCTTAAAGAAAGTATTAAATGCTAGGCCCAGGGGAGAAAGATGGTTGAGCCACACGAGAACTGCAGGCAAGAACCAGGAGGCCAAACTGTTCAACACCGCAGCTTGGACTGGGAGTAGGTTTGGTGGAAAGCAGAGAACTTAAGCACAGCCATGAACCTTAACACCCTCTTGCCCACACCCTCGGTACACAGGGGTCCCAAGGTAACACTGTCCCAGTACACTGGACCTCCTCAAGTCTCACCTACCTGCCTTTCCTGGATTCAAACGCGAGTCTGCACATGCACGTACCAGCCCGCATGGAGTGTGGGAAGGACAGAGGCATGAACAAGAGAGAAGGATTTTCAGAGAACTGCTGAAGTGGGGTGAAAGCAGAAACCCGGCTCAGCAGGCAGGAGGGTTTCCTGCTGCCGGACGGTGTCTGTAACTAGGGAAGTGGCCTTTCCTCAAAGTGTCAGCTTGCAAAACAAGCCAGAAAGCAGAAGTGTGAGGGCCCTACTGGGTGCGCCCCGGGGCCTCCTCTAATTTCACATTCAAAATGAAGCTGTACTCTGAGGACAGGGTTCCCTGCAGCCTTCACAAGCTGAAGAGGAGCCAAGGAACAGGGTTGTACCCCTTGATGTGTGGCCAGCCAGGAAATCTGCATTCCCAGGTGTTCCTACTAAAAGCAACTTGGTCTTAGGATACAGCAAAACTTTCTTCTCTGCTTTTTTCTACTTTTCCTTGGCTAAACGTTTAATGATTTCATTATAACTTTAATGAACCAATGTGGATTTTACTGATTTTTCTTCTGTTTTCCTTTTTGGAATTCCAACTATTGCTGCTTCAATTCTTTTCTCCTTGATCAGGTTTAATTTAATCCTCTTTTTGTAGTTTGCTAATATGGAATTGTAGGTTCCTGACTTTATGGATTTCTTTTATCTCTATATACATTTTAATTTGGATAGGGTTTGGGGGTATGTCCCAAGGTTCAGGGGCTGTGAGCTGGGTCCCAGTGCCCAGCGTGGCAGTGTTAAGGTGGTAGACCCTTAAGAGAGGCAGGACATACTGTGAGGTAATTAAGTCACTGTGGATGGCACCCTCAGAAAACATTAATATCCATCTTGTAAGAGTTAGATCTCCAGGCACTGGGTTAGATCCTTCTAGAGTGGGTTGTTAATAAAGCAAGGCCACCCTACATGTGTGATCTATTCCATGTTAAGATACATTCCCATCGTGAAATGCAACCTGCCCTGTTTTGATATCAAAATAGACCTGTTTTGAATATAAAATACATAACTGATCACAGGTAGTTTTATAGCAACAAATGCACTAAGACATATATGCACATATTGCTATAAATATTCCTCTATGTGTGCTTTTACTGCATCTACAAACTTTCTATAAGTTGTAGTTTCATTTATGCATTTTCCAAAACATTTTAATATCTCTTTTGAGACTTCTTGGAGTCCTAGGTTGTAAAAAAAAGTCTGCTATTTAATTTTCAAACACTGGGAAAGGAGTGTGTGTCAGCTCTTTTTTGTGACTACCTAGTTTAATTTTTTTTTTTCCTAGAACATAATTTGGAAGAGTTTTATTGGTTTAAATTTATTAACAAGTTTTGCAAGAACACCCTTTATCATGGTGAATGTTCCAAGTAAGCTTGAAAAGAATGTGCATTCTTCTGCTTTTGGACTGAACATTTTATTAATGTCGTTTGCTGACAGTGGTGCTCAAGCTTCTATGGCCATACTGATTGTCTCTTTGGTGTGTCAATTACTGGTAGAGGGAAAAGGAAACTTCCAATCATAATTGTAGACTTGTCTATTTCTCTTTTCAGTTAAATCATTGTTTGCCTTGTGGATTTTGATGCTGTGTTGTTATGTGTTATGTACTGGTTAGGGGTATTATGTCTTATTGGCTATTTGATTCCTTTATCAGTATATAACAATCTTTAGAAGGCCGGATCACTGTGAGAACTTTGTACTTTAACTTATACAGGAAGTCAAGAGGGTACTGGAATATGAGTAATCCACCTGGGGATTCCCAGCTTGGGTAAGGCCCTGAGTACTTTTCTCTGAAGAGTAACCCTTTGTATGGTGAAGGCTCCAGGTACACTTCATAACTGTCACTAACCCCTTCTCCAACCAAAGCCACGAAGGGCTCTTTATCAGATCTTCCACAACTCAGTGAGCTCTGTACTAGCCTGCCTTTTTATTGTCTATACTTTCCAAGATTTTGGTATCAAGGGCCTTGAAAATGTTGGCTATATTGTCTCTCCCAACACTGGTCAATTTCAAGAGATAGTAGAACATCCCTCATATGTAAACCGACCAATCAAAAGCCTATCTCTCAACTACTTCCTTAGCAGGCTCTCACAAACCACACCATTGTTCCTCTCTCCTATCACTCCAGGCACAGGCAACTAGGGATGGATAGCCCTCTCCTCCAGCCTGCTGAGATCATTCAAACCAACCAATCCTATGCCTGCTTGCCCTGCCTTGCTTCATGTTTCCTGTAGGTAAGCAGAACAAAGGCTGTTGCTGCTGTGCCTTCACTCCCCTTGCATATTGGCCGACTCTGGTGTTTTCCTGTGAAGTCCTAAGTGGTGCACTGTGCCTCTTGTTCTCAGGGATCTGTGAGTATAAACATCCTCCTTCAGAAAAGTCATTCCCCTGTCTGTGTGCCTTACCATACCTAATTAAACATATCCAGGTCTCCAGAGGGAAATAAGGTCTCTGGAGGGAAAACCGAGAAAAGTGGAGGCCATCCTAAGACTGCAACTCGTAGGAGCTTTTCTCCCACAAACTAGTCCACAGTCAGTCTTCAGCAAGCCACCAAAATCACTATTTAATAGCTTCTAGCATTGTTTGGCTCTGACAGCTCCTGCCTCAGGTCAGTATGTTTGCATCATCTCCTCTGGATGTGCCTATCTCTACAGACACCAGGTATCAATCTTTCCTGAGACCTCAGGCTTCTCATTAGGTAAGAAAAGTCACTAATTCTCATTCTGTCCAGCTTTCTTAATGGAAGGACAGAAGAGTTCTTCATGGGTTACAGCTGAAAGTGATGACTGTCTCTCTTTGCTAAGGTTTGTTTAGCTAGCTAGTGTCTACCAGGTGGTCCACAACATTTTCTCCAGTGAACATGCATGGAGAGGGGTTATGATGTGACTATCCTGTAATCAATGGTCCATAACTTTGACACATGTGTGAGTAAATAGATGAATGAGTCCTGGCTCATAAGCATTTGCTGCATGAATGAATGAGAGGTGAATGCAGTTTTATCTCCAGTTGTGCATTTCCAATCCAAGAACTCCCAGGGCTGCTCCAGGCTGGAGCAGTCTGGTCCACTTCTCCTCATTCCAAATCACTACCAGATGCTCCATGTCCCCAGGAACTGTGTTCCTTAACTGACACACAGTGCACACATTTCCATGTTTTCTAGGATACTGAGACAGTCCGAAATGACTTCTGCCTCAACATGTTAGATCCTTGTTTTGCTGTGTGGGTACACAATACAGAAGGAAAATAATGTTTTACATGTTGCCACCAAATCCAACACAATTAGCAGATCTTTTCCTGACTTTAGATATTCACTGACTACTTTCTAGGAGACTCCTTGGTAGACCACAACTTTGTCCAAAATTATGAAGAAACTATGGGCCTTATTCTCTTAACCCCTTTCTTTTCTTACATATGAACTTTAACAAAACTTGAGGTCTAAATCAAGACAACCCAAAACTAAAAATCCCTGGGGGTTTTGTGTTTTGAAAGCAATGTTTGCTTTTCTCTTTCACTTTGGTTGAGCTGCATTCTGTGGACCTTGTACTGGGAAGGATCCATTGGGAGCATCCCTAAAAGCCTTAGTTTATGTAGTGTAAGAGATGTCTGGGAAGCCGTTCCAAGACCTGCTCCAGATCATTCTGGAGGAGTACTTGGGTCCAAATACTGGCTGCACTACTTTTATCCCTAAAGTTCTGTTTCTCCATCTGCAAAATGAGACCAACATGACTCACCTCAAAGAGCTGGTCTGTTGATTCCCAGTACCGGAAAAAAAACAAAAACATCAACAACAACAAAAAAAGAGCTGGTCTGGAGATGCTCCAGTGTGTTGGTAAGTACAACCTACACTGGTGCTGGTGGTAGAGGTGGAGGTATCCTCCTTGTTGGAGGATATAACCTCACTTCCAGAAAGCTATGCCCACATATCCCTATTCACCAGACCCTGTGGGTCTGCTGCTTCACATAAGCTCAAAGAACACAAAATAACATTAATTAAATTAGGTAGGACACAGTGCATCCTGACTGTAGCTATTTTGAGCTAGAGCTGCCAAAATTACTCCTGAGTAATGCTGGTCTGCTTTCCCCACATAGCATCCCAGCATATTGTAGATAACTAAACCCAGTAGAGTCATGAGTAGAGTTTTCACACTGGACTCTGACTTCAGGAATATACCTGACTCTTTGATGTTAACTTAAGATAAACCAGGTATGGCCTGGCTTGGATGAAGTCATTGTTATGTATATCTACATAATATGTATATACACTTATATTTACACTTGTAACCATACCTTTATCTATATACCCCTTCTTCTGACCCAAATCCCAGAATTGCTACTGACAAAGACTTCCCTTCTGTCAGTACATCCCCAGGAAATTGTACTCTGTGAAGATCTGGACCTGTCTGACTTTTTATTCAGTTTCATGGCACCAGTGCCTGGTTCTCACACATAGTGGTTGAGTTGCCCTGGAACATCTATATTATTGTCTTTATAAAAGAGAGGTATATTGAAGTATTTAGGAAATGAACTTCTACCTCTATAGTTTACTTTAAAAACACTTAAGCCAAAAAAGATAAAGCTAATATGACAAACTATTCCTACAACTAAGTCATGAGTGTACGATTACTTATAAATGACGCTCTTTTCCTGGCCATAATGTCAGAATATATTTGTTATAAAAATTTAAGTTTTTTTCACATAAAAAGTAAAAACAAAATACTGCACAACTCACCATATATGATATGGACCCTAAAGCCAAAACTGAAGTATCTGCCCATCAGCTGCCACTCTACCTACACTGAGGCTCGGTGACAGTTCATCTTGACCTTGACTACCAGCTTGGTGGGACTGAGAGACACACAGGGGTCAGCAAAGCACACTTCTGGACGAGTTTTTGAGGTGTTCCTTATCACAGGCTCACAGCCAACCATGTACTGAAACCTGGAACCAAAATAACCATTTCTTTGTTCAGGTTGTATTTCCTGGGTTATTTGGTCACAGAGAGAGGAGGCTGACATAGGGCCTCTGAGAAAACCACACACATCTTTTCAGGACAGCTGATGGTGCACATGAAGACACAGTGTGCCTTCCTGATGTTCTTGGAAGAGTTGGGGATGGTGAGAAACCATGCACGCCAACACCTCCTGCAGAACAGAGTGACAGGGAAAGACACAGAG